TCCACATGCAGGTCCTGTGTGTGTGCCAGGGCCCAGCAGTGGCACTGTCCCTGTCCTCAGGCAGGTTGCAGTGGTGAGAGGGGACAGAAGCTTGGTTCTCTAGAGATGGAGACATGGCAGGAGAGCTAGCCTAGCCTGAGACAGGAAGGGGTCAGCTTGGCTTCCTAGGAGGGAGTCCTGAAGAAAGAATAGAAATTAATCGGAGAGACGAGAGGGATGACAGGTGGTAGGGGCAGAGCAGGCCCTATGAGCAGGGCTCCGGGAAGCGGGGAGCGGGCGAGGAAGGTGGGATCGGCAGAGGCAAGAGTAGAGGGCTTTGTGGGCCGGAAATCCGAGGTCCTGAAAGCAGGCCTGCGAGTTTCTAAGCCTGAGGAACCTGGGACACCCTCACACCATCTCCCTGCGGACCTCACTCAGAACCAGACCAGGAACATTCCAGGCTAATCAAAGCTCAGATCCGGAGAGAGCGCCAAGGCTTCACACACGGCTCGAAGTCTAGTAAAGACCGTCCCCCCCCCCCCCCCTCCCAGAGCTCGCCTGCTCTCTGCCGGGCCGGAGTGGGGGCTGCCGGGTCCTCGGGGATTTCTCAGGCCCTCAGAAAACTGGAGGCCCAGGGCTTTCCCTGCAGATTTTGGGGGAACTGGGTATAGAGGAGGGGAGGAGGATGGAAATGGAGCCAGAGGCCCATCTGTGGGAGGAGCCAGAATTTCTTGTCTGAAGAACCTGACTTGGGAGTGATCCCGGCTCTTAGGACCCTTGCTCAGACTGATTATTTCTGGAAAGGGCTGAAGTGCAGGATTTCAGCTCCAACCTGAGCCCAAGCCGATACTGCTACCCTCCACCAGACACTCCCCCAGCCTGCTCTCAGCAGAGGAAGGACACACACCAGGTATGGAAGCAGCAGCCCCAACCCTGGAAATGGATGTCGGATGGCCGTTTCCTATATGTACTTTAATATATATATATATATATTATTGATTTCAGAGAGGAAGGGAGAGGGAGAGAGAGATAGAAACATCAATAATGAGAGAGAATCATTGATCAGCTGCCTCATGCACGCTCCACACGGGTTAGCCCGCAACCTGGGCATGTGCCCTGACTGGGAATCGAACTGTGACCTCCTGATTCATAGGTCGATGCTCAACCACTGAGCCACGCTGGCAGGGCCTGATGTTCTTTAATAATTCTTCTTTCTTCGTCAAAGCCTCCATTCTTTTATTATGTAAACTGCATCATGCTTTTGAGGGAGCTCTTTTCCCAAGGGGGTGCAAGGGGCGGGTACAGATATCTTAAATACACTACCTAATTGACCAATTTCAGCCTGAGATGAAAAGATCGAGATGACCACTTTCCTCTTTAAACATTGAAGAACCTCCTCTGCCTTCTCACTTCGTCCCTAGCTCCCTCCTCTTCCTCTCTCTCCCTGTCTCGGGGGAGCAAGTCTCTGGCTTTGGCAAAGTTAAAGACAGAGAAGCAGTGAGAGGAAAGGAAGAGAAATAGGCTGCCTCAGGCCTAAGGCGTCCCCATCCCATCTCACAGGGAAACCCGCATCCTGGTAAGTGGGGGTGGGCGGCTGGGGAAGGGGCGGGGAGGGTGACTCTCCCTTCCAGAACCTCTGAGCTTCCTGTGTCAGGCCCGGGGACCTGGTGTCATTATCAGTGGGACCAGGCAGGGAGGAAGCCTTCCCCAGGTGACCAGGCTGACCTCCCTCTGGAACTGGCCAAACGCTATGCAAGTCTGTGCGTGGCCTCATCTTTGTAGCAGAGCCACAGCAGCAGCAGCGGAGGAGATCATGTGTTGAGGGCTTGCTGGGTGTCTCTACTGTGCTTGTGCATTTTTCATTCATTATCTCTTTAAAACCCCACAAATTTCATGAGAGCTTAACCCCATTTTACAGATGGGCCAACTAAGGCTCAGAGAAGTGACTTCCCAAAGTCACAGTTATAAGAGTGTCAGGACCCAACCTTGGTCTGTCTGACTCCAGGGCCTACAGAGGGTGGAGGAAGCTAGGCTGACATTGCCCTCCCCTGCCAGGCCAGCTCACCCCCAAACCCAAGCCCTACAGGGCAGCACCTTCTACACTCTGCAGCCCATCATATCGCTTCCTCCTCGAGCCCAGTTCTGCCTCAGCTCCTGGCTCACTCTTTCAGAGCTGGGACGCAGCAGGTGGGCTCAGGAAGGTTCGACTGCTCCTCCACCCTCACCCCTAACAATCCTGTGGCTGTTGAATTCCATTGTCTCAAAAATGAGGGCTGGTTGGATATTTCATGGGGAGGGGAGCAAGTGGCAGAACCAGTGCACCCTGGCACAAGGGAAGGGGCCTGAGCTCAGCTTGGCGCACTGACTGGGCCAGACCTGGCCAGCATCAGTGTCGCAGAGTAGGGCTGGGGTCTGACATGGTGTGGGCACGTCCCCAGATGACACAGGTGAGGGCAGCAGGTCTCAGTAGAAGCCTGTGTGCTGGCGGGAGGTGGGGGTGTGTTTTGAGTCTTCTCCTACCTGACCATTTGCCTGGCCCAGGAAGGGCCTGAGAATCTGCTGGGTCATCAGAGCGGTCCCCAGGAGGGGCCATTTTAAGGGAGGGGTTTTCTTGGCTAGCTCCTCATCCCAATCTTCAGCTCTCAGCCCACAGTCACTTCCTGAGAGAATGGCTCAGGCCTGGCCTGGCCCTTTATCACAGTGACATGTTGCTTTAATCACCATCTCCCCTCCCCTCCAGGATGGGGTGTTTCTTGAGGTCAGAGACAAGATGACTTTGCGCACCGCTGTCCCCAGGACCTGGCACCACTCCCCCCCCCACCCCGCCCCCACTGACATGTGCATTTACCAAGGGCTTGCGTGGGCCCTGGTGTCCCCACCAGCCTCAGAGGAAGGGATGCGTCCCCACCAGCCTCAGCTTCCTGAACCAGCCGTCAGAAGAAACCGAGCCAGGAGAAGTGACAAGGGACAGGTCCTAGCGGGACTGCCCCCTCAACCCCAGACCCTCACCTCAGCTGGCACATGCCTTAAACCAGTGATGGCGAACGTTTTGAGCTCGGCGTGTCAGCATTTTGAAAAACCCTAACTTAACTCTGGAGCCGTGTCACATATAGAAATTTTTTGATATTTGCAACCATAGTAAAACAAAGACTTATATTTTTGATATTTATTTTATATATTTAAATTCCATTTAACAAAGAAAAACCAACCAAAAAAATGAGTTCGTGTGTCACCTCTGACATGTGTGTCATAGGTTCGCCATCACTGCCTTGGGCACTCAAGCGTTGACCTCTGTGAACGCTTCTTCCCCAACAAGAGCAACAGCAATAATAATGTTGGCTAATACTCACCGAGTGCTCACTGTGCTCCAAGCTCTGCGCCAAGCACCTTCCACCCGTTACTTCTCAGAACCCTCAAAGCGGCCCCAGGAGGCAGGTGTCCCCATTTTACAGACGAGGTCACTGAGACAGGAAGAGCAAGCCATGTGCGCCCAGTGGCCCAGCAGGTGTGGGGTGAAGGTAAGATTGTGCAGCCAGGTGGCCAGAGCCCAGAACCAGAACCCAGAACCCGAGAGCCCTCTGCCTCCAGGGCATGCCTCTCTGATTTGATAGTCTGGGCAGGTGCAGCCTGTTCAGAGGGCCCGGACTCTACCTGTGTTCGCACACGCCGAACTGTCGGAAACGGAAGCCCAGTTCCTATTCAGTAGGGCACTGGTCCACGTATTATGTTGGCAAATATTTATCGAACACCTACTGTGTGCCAGATCCCGTACTAAGGACGAATTGGTGAGCAAAACCTGACCAGTCCCTGCTCTCGCGGAGCATATTTTCTAGTGGAAAAGAATCAAATATGTGTCCAATTACAAATGGCAATACACGCCAGGAAGGAAAACTACAGCTGGCTCTGAGCGAGAACAAGAGGCACATAATTTAGACGGGGTGGGTGGGGTGGGGTGGGGTGGGGGATTTCAGAGCTGACATTTATACACTAACGTAACCAATCAATCAGCCAGGTCATTAATCCAGACCAGAGAGACGGCCAGGGTCCACCTGATGTGACTTGCGGCGTAGAGAGCTTCCCCTGGCTTTTCCTCTCCATCAAGGAAAAGCGCTGTCTGTAGTCCACGGCCATTTTGCCGTTTGCTGCGGGAAGTGCCCCTGAGATTCCAGGTCTCGGGGAGCTCGGAGTGAAGGGTGAGGGAACGTGTGATCTGACCTGGCTTCTTGGATACAGCAGAAAGGGCAGGGCCCCCTCCCGCCCCTGTCTAGCTGAGCGCCCCGCCCCTGGCCTCCCACGCCGACCTCAGAAGTGCGGTGCTCGGTTGCCACCTGGTGGACAGACCAGGCCCTGCACCGGGCGGCCCGGCCTTCCCGTCCCGGGGTGGGACCCCGAAGGAGGCCGTGGTTTTTAGCGACGTCCTGGGGGGGAGCGGGGCTGGGGAACAGGAGCGCGGGTGGATGGGGAGCTGCTGCTTGTAAGTCAACTGACTGGAGGCCGACAATGGCCCCATTGTGTCCGGGGCCTTGACCTTGATTTCCTGCCACTCTCATCTCCCAGGTCCGATTGGCCGGAGTCGGCTCCGCGACAGTGGGCGGGCCTGGGGCTGGACACGCAGCATCGGGCTCCCGGAGGGAGGGACTGGCCCAGTCCCCGCGGCAACCCAGGGGAGGCAGCCGGGGCCAGGGGCCCACGCCTCTCAGAAGTCCGGCCCTTTCTTCCTTCGAAAGGCAGCGCAGCGCAGAGGTTACAGACTGGAATCTGCAGTCTGAGGTCCGGCTCCAAACTAGTTGTGGGATGATCCTTGGACACAGTCTTTACCGCCGCCCACTTTTTTAAAGTACACACACATGATTACACATTCCCAATGTAATATATATATATATAGACACTGCAATAAAAAGCTAAAGCTCCCCACCTTTATCACGCCCCTTCCCCGGGTAAATACTGCTGTTACTTTCAAGTGTGTCCTTCTGACCTCAATTAGTGTATTGATATTTTCACACATGAAAATATGTGATTTGGTGCATGTACTCTCTGGAACCCAGTTTCCTAATCTGCAATGAGAAAGGAAATAGAAGTCGTGAAGTCTGAGACGTTACTGGGAACGTTACCTGAGAACTCGGGGGAGCGCTTAGCTCAGCACCTGCTGCCCAGTGTCTGAGACTATTGCCATCTCTGTCTTTATCAATGGGCCCCGGACCCAATTCTGAGGTCTTGGATAGACGCCCTTTCTTCCTTCCCCAGCCTGCTCTTCGCCCTCCCCTTTCCCTCCTAACAGACTGTGATAAAAATCTGGTCCCTCATGTCTGTGGAGTATTTTTAAGCTAGAAAGAGCATCTGGTGTTTTCTGCGTGTTCTCACCTCCCCTTCCTCCCCTCCCCGCCCCCTTCCTTTCTATATTTGACCTAAATAGGACCACTCACCCTACTACAGAGAGAACATCCATTCTGTGCCAGAGGAAGAGACTTCCACGGCCCACCTGGTGCTGCTGGACCCACAGTAACTCTACATACACCAGGTAGGGCTAGGCTAGTGGCGGAAAGGGTTGGGGTGGCTCTGTGGACGCCATGTGGAAGAGCCGGTAAGTGCAAGGTCAGCTGTGAGAGCGCACCAAGATATGGCCAAAGGCAGGTCACTTCGCCTCTCGGAGCCTCAGCTGTGTCACCTGTACAATGGAGCAACGAACCAGCGCACCATATTCAAGTGCTGTAAGGCTAACCGGGCGCCTGTAAAGGGACCTGGCGCTGAGAAAGCCGAATAGTCGTTATTCTTTAGCCAGAAAACAAAGTGCCGAATCTATTTAGCATTTTTATGTTTGGGAAGGACATTTCTAACTTCTCTCTTCAAACTGAACTAGTCTTTGCAGCATGGCGACGGACGTGTGGTCTTGACTTACAAGTCTCAGGAGAAAGGTAACTGCCTTTACCTGGGCCTCTGTCGGAGTAGCCGCGTGCCACTTCCTGGAGCTATTGCTGGTCCCTAAGATGGCCCACCGGGCTCCCTCCAGCCTCAAGCACCAGGGTAAAGGACACCAACGGATCTCACTGTTCCAGATGATGCAGCAGAAAAGCACATCAAAGCCATGGGAGTGAGACAAGGCCAAATCACTCATTCTGCAAAGAGCCATCGAGCAGAGCAGCTGCTTTGCCCAGCCTGCGCGGCATGGTCCTGCGCAGCCCACAGCCCCTGGAACACAGGGGTTTTATTGGGGGGAACTTGCTGCACATCCTAGCTAATAGTTATTCGGTGCTCAGTAGATGCCAAGTGTGTTATAAGCACAATGAGCAAGCCCAAGACAGATAAGATCTTTGTCCTCGTGTAGCTTGTTTTATTAAAATGGTTCTTCTGCACATACTTTCCTCTGCTTTTTTTAAAGGCATAATTTGCATTAAAATTCATCTTTTTAAATGTACGGTTCTACAACAAGCACAAGTATGTAACCACTATTATAATCAAAATATTGAATATTCTATATTCATATGTCCACCACATCCCCAACATTTTCCTCTTGTTCTGTAGTGACCAACACCCCCCGACCCCAGCCACAGGCAAGCACTGAGCTGATTTCTGTCCTTACGGTTTTGCCTTTCCAAAATGGAATCTTACAGGGTGTGTCCTTTTGAGTCTGGCTCTTTTCACTTACCATCATGCTTTTGAGATTCATCATATCGTTGTACACACAACGGTTCCTTTCTTCTTTCTTTCGACTTTTTATTATAAAATTTTCAAATGTAAAGTTAAAAGACTAAGACAGCAAACACCTATAAATCTACCACCCAGATTCAATAATTGTTCGCATTTCTCTTTCTTTTTTTTTAATATATTTTATTGATTTTTTACAGAGAGGAAGGGAGAGAGAGAGAGAGAGAGAGTCAGAAACATCGATGAGAGAGAAACATCGATCAGCTGCCTCCTGCACATCCCCCACCGGGGATGTGCCCACAACCCAGGTACATGCCCTTGACCGGAATCGAACCTGGGGCCCTTCAGTCCGCAGGCCGACGCTCTATCCACTGAGCCAAACCGGTTTCGGCTGTTCGCATTTTTCATATTTTAAAATGATATATGTCCCTAGGCACAAATTGGTTGAAAATCTGAAACTATGTTATAGACACTGGCACTTTACCTCTAAAACTTCAGCATATACACTAAAAATGAGGACATGTGATAAGCGTATGTTATCACACCTAAGAAAGTTGACAATAACTCCCAAATGTCATCTTTTATACATCCCTTTGCAAATGTCCCCAATTTTTTAAAAAGTCTTTTATAGCTTTTTACCTACCTGCTAGGGTTTGTATTTCTAAACTTTTAGTTTTGAAATCATTATAGACTCACAAGAAATTGCAAAAATAATAGGGTGTCATGTACCCTTCAACTAATTTTCCACAATGGTGACATCTTATATAGAACTTATATACAGAGCTTTAGATAAAGCTTATGTAGAGCTATAGTGAAATATCAAAAACAGGACATTGATACTGGTACGTACTGTTAACTAGACTACATACCTTATTTAGTATTCACCATTTTTTAAACCTGCATCCATTTGTGTATGAGGGTGTGTGTATAGTTCTATGCACTTCAATCCTGTGCATAGATTCATATATCTGCCACCACAATTGAGGTAGAAAACTGTCACATTGCCACCAAAGAACGCCAGTGCTACCTCTTTGTAGTCACACCCACTCTCACTTCACATCTCCCTGTCCCCTGGCAACCACTAATCTGCTCTCCATCTCTATAGTTTTGTCACTTTGAGAATGTTATATAAATTAAATCATACAGCCCTAGCTGGCTTGGCTCAGTGAATAGAGCGTCAGCCCGTGGACTGAAGGGTCCTGGGTTTGATTCTGGTCAAGGGCACATGCCATGGTTGCGGGTTCGATCCCCAGTGGAGGGCATTCAGGAGGCAGCTATCGATGATTCTCTGTCATCATTGATGTTTCCATCTCTCTCTCCCTCTGCCTTCCTCTCTGAAATCAATGAAAATATATTTAAAAAATTAAATCATGCAGTATGTAACCTTTTGAGATTGATTTTTTTTTTATTAAGCACAGTACCCTTGTGGTTCCGCCAGGTTGTCGTGTGTATTATCTATGGTTCATTCCTTTTTACTGCCTGGCAGTATTCTTATATGGATGTACTACAATTTAGCTATGTACCAGGTAAAGGATATTTTAAAAATATATTTGTATTGATTTCAGAGAGGAAGGGAGAGAGAGCGAGAGATAGAAACATCAATGATGAGAGAGAATCATTAATCAGCTGCCTCCTACATGCCCCCTACTGGGGATTGAGCCCACAACCTGGGCATGTGCCCTGACCAGGAATCAAATTATGACCTCCTGGCTCATAGGTCGATACTCAACCAGTAAGCCACATTGGCTGAGCTGGTTAAAGGATATTTGGGTTGCTTCTAGTTTCGGATTATTGTAAAAAAAAAAAGTTACTTTAAACATTTGTGTACAGGTTTGTGTGTGAACATAAACTTCATTTCACTTGGGTAAATACCTGGGAGCAGGATTGCTGGGTTGCATGTTGTCAGTTTACCTTTATGTGAAATGGCCAAACTCTTTTGCAAGCTGGCTGTGCCATTTTGCATCCCACAAGCTGTGTATGAAAGTTACAGTTGCTCTGTATCCCTGCCAGCACTAGGTATTATAACTTAAAAAAAAAAAAATTTAACCATCCTAATACATATATGCTATGGTACCCCACCTAACTTTTTAGATGAGAAGTTATAACTCTTCTGAAAACTCTCCAGTGACTTCCCATCACACTCAGAATGAAATTTAAATTCATTTTTGCAGTTTGCCAGACCGCTCTCCTGACCGCTTTCGACTCTGCCCCTCACTCCGCTCCAGCCACAGTGGCCTTGTTGTTTTGCTAACGTCCTGTGCCTCCCTCCAGGCTTCTCACTTGTGGTTCCTTCCACCTGGATGTTCTTGTCCTGGGTATTCACATGGCTCAGTTTCTCACTCCATTCGTTCTAGGTCTAACGTCAGCTTCTCAGAGACCTTCCTGATGGTCAAAAGGAGCCCCGTCCTTCCACCATCATTACAATTCTTTTACCCTGTTTTATTTTTCTTCATAGCACTTATCTCTGCTTAATAAAATGTGTATCAATTACTGAATTATTTACAGTCTGTCTCCCCCATAGGACAGGGATTGGCTTGGGGGCAGGGGACAGATTGGCTTTGTTATGATTATCTCCAGGGCTTGGCACACAGGAGAACTCAGTAAATATTTGCTGACTGAATGTGTATCAGAAACTTCTTGTGACTCTCTTTTCCTCCCTCTGGCCCACCTTTCACCCAGCCATCACCATGTCAACCAGCTGGGAGCAGGTAGAAGCCCCTTGGCTTACCTGCTACCCATAGCTCTTGCCTGGGCCCAGAGTTTCCGTCTGGAGTCAAGCACTGTGGCCTGGAAGTGTGGGCAAGTAAGCTCTGCTAGGGCAAGCCCTGACCCATGGGCTGGGGATGATAGATGTACGCCCCTCCCTGGTGCCCAGTGGACAGTTCTGAGGTTCACTCAACACTGCTCATCAGCAGGGCCAGCTGGACAAGCCCTAGTTACCCACAGTGGCGACCTCCACGGCACACCATTGTCATGGTGTCCCTTACTTCCTATTTCACTCTCCCCAGCCCCTACTTCTGTTCCCTGGGATCATGTCTGGAATTAACTTGCAAGCAAGCCCCTTCTCTGCTTTCTGTACCTACAAGGAGGTAGCCAGCATGGAAAAGAGCCCAGTTTAAATTAAAACAAATAGCCCTAACTGGTTTAGCTCAGTGGATAGAGTGTCTTCCTGAGGACTGAAGGGTCCCAGGTTCGATTCCGGTCAAGGGCATGTAACCTGGTTGTGGGCACATCCACAGTAGGGGGTGTGCAGGAGGCAGCTGATTCATGTTTTTCTCTCATTGACGTTTCTAATTCTCTAACCCTCTCTCTTCCTCTCTGTAAAAAAATCAATAAAATATATTTTTTAATTAATTAATTAATTAAAACAAATATATGGAGCTTGTAGTCTAGTAGGAGAGACAAATAATTAAAAGGAGCCAAAATTTAAATAACTGAAGGACAGAGTTTTCAACAAATGGTGCTGAAATAACAAAATATCCACATGGAAAACAATAAATTTCAGCCCCTACTTAACAATATACTTGACATGGATCAAAGAACTACATTTTAAAAAAAGAAAACTATAAAACTTCTCAAAGTAAGCATAGACAAAAGTCTATATGACCTTGGGATAGGCAGAGAATTTTTGGATCACATAAAGGAGTCATTATAAAAGGGGGGATGACAGCGTTAAGAAGATGAAAAGGTCAGTCGGATAGAAGAATTTTTAACAAATAAGTTGTGTCTACAACATGTATAGAGTAATAAGAAGCACTGAGTAATAAGAAGACAAACAACCAAATTAGAATATGGGCAAAAGATTTTAAAAAATACATTAAAAAGAAGATATACAGCTGGCTGGCCTGGCTCAGTGGTTGAGCGTCGACCAATGAACCAGGAGGTCATGGTTTGATGCCCAGTCAGGGCACATGCCTGGGTTGTGGGCTTGATCCCCAATGTGGGACATGCAGGAGGCAGCCGATTAGTGATTCTCTCTCATCGTTGATGTTTCTCTTTCTCTCTCCTTTTCCCTTCCTCTCTGAAACCAATAAAAATATATTTTTTAAAAAGAAGATATACAAATATCTATGCACACATGAAATACAGTTCAACATCATTAGCCATCAGGGAAATATAAATTAAAACCACAATTAGATAATACCGTACACCCATTAGAATGACCAAAAAGTGTTGGCAAGGATGTGGAACAACTGGAACTCTCATACATTGCTGGCAGGAGTGTGAGATGGAAAATCACTTTGGAAAAAGGTTTTGCAGTATCTTATAAAGTTAAATATACCATGTGCCCAGCAAGCTCTATTATAGGTACTTATTTGAAAGAAAGGAAAATGTATGTCCACACAAAGGCTTGTACATGAATTGCCAATAGGGCTTTATTCATAATAGTCAAAAACTGGAAATGGCCCAGGTGTCCATCCGCAGGGGAATAGATAAATTGTGGTGTATTCGTACAGTAGCTTAAGACTCAGTAATAAAAAGAAATAGATACTGATAAGTGCTACAACAGGAATGAATCTTCAAAGCATGCTGAATGAAAGAAGCCAGACCAAAGAGCATATACTGTATACTCACATTTAAATGAAGTCCTAGAACAAGCAGAGTTCTAGAACAGAAAGTAGAGCAGTGATTGACTGGGGCTGGCCATGGAGTGGGGGGATATTGACTGGAAAAAGGAATCAGGAAAATTGTACAAGTTATGAAAATATTCTGCATCTGGAGTAGAGTGGTGGATACATGGGTATTTGTCAAAACTCATCGTACTACATA